GCCTGGGCCCTGTCCTCAAGCAGCAGCTTCCTGGAGACTGCCAGGGCGGGTGGGGTCCATTCAAGCCCAGTTGAGGCCCCCACAGCTCTCATTCCCTAGCCCATGAGGTGGCCTCAGCAAAGCTGTCCTGTGGCACCCACTGCAGGGCGCCTTGGTGCTGCCCAGAAACAGCTCCTCTGGGGGCAGGGGAGGGGAAGCCTACGCCCTAGGGGCTCCTGTGCTTAACCCTGGCTTGCTCTGGGGGAGGGGCCCTCTGAAGGCTGCCTGCCACTGGCAGGAAACCCCCCCCCGCCACCACCTCTAGAGCTGTGCCCACCAACACCCATCCCCACACACAGGGTGCCAGGGCAGGAAATCACCACTGCTGCTGCCAGCCCTTTCAGACTCCTGCTCCCACTGGCCTCTGGCTGTGCCCACTGGGGCAGCCGCACCAACAAAGCCCGCATGTCCCACCACTCAGGGGGCAGGACAGAGCTGGGTAATCCACAGGGGTCTGGAGTCAGTGTCACACACTATACTATTATATACAAACATACACACATTCACACATATCTATTATTGCCTTTAGTAAATTTTACTTGAAAAAATTGCATCATAAATTTGTATCAAATGAGTGAGAAATCTATCCAGGGATAGTAGCAGGTCCTCCGCATCTCTACTTCACATGCTTCACAGTCTGAAATGTTGGATGGCATCCTCACCCCTTTCTTACAACCCAGATGTTACATTAGGATATGCTGTAAAGTCCACCTCTAAATATAACCAGATCTAATGACTTCCTGTTATTTTCCTGATCACACCCCATAAAGGTACCAAATTTTCCATCCTAGAATCCGTGCTAGTTTCCTACATTTATCTTCCCACCTCTCACCTTCACCTCTTGATTCTGCACAGCAGCCAGACTGAGGCTTCTAAAGAGAAGTTGCACCATGTCTGCCCAGAAAGGTCTGTTAATCCCACATCTTACTCAGAGAAAAGATGATGAATTCCAAACCAATCTTCAGTGACAAGCCCAAATATTTGGCAATTATTTCCTTTTATAGAAAAGTGTAGGTTTTTCACCTTGAAACATAGCAAAAGCCCAGTGTATCAGTTTAGTGAAAAATCCAGCAGCCAACTATACTACGTGGCCGTCAAGTTTCCCTTTGAAAATACATTTAGATTCACATAATTTTAAGCTTATTACATAAAGGTTTTAAATAAAAACCATCAAAATCTTTAGCTAAATAATCCCACATCTGGACTGAATCATGGTAGTACGGACGTATTTTAAAATTCCAGCTTATTTATTCATCAGTAACATGTAACATTTGACAATGATCAGAGTAGAAGCTTCCTGTGTGTAGGGAGATGACAGTGTCATCACACCTGCTAGGCAGTGGGTCACTTGCACAGTCATTACTGGATTCTATCAGACCTGCTGTCATGCTGAGGCTTCCCCGTGAGCAAAGTATGACAAGTGCTCACTGCCGGGCCAGCAGGGAAGATGGAGCTCACTCCTGACACCAGGCACCACCTGAATCATGTGTTTGTGTTTCCTTGTCATGGCGCTGAGCCTTGGTGTTATTAAACACAATGAGATTTTCTTAATGAACGTGGTGGATTAACACAAAAGGACTTTACCTGGTCCCCTCAATCATTTACTTTCTCTCCACCTTTTTAAAAATTAGTGTTGAGACAATATGAGTTACACATTCACTGGCTGGAAAGACACAGTCACCTCTTAGGTCACCCCTGGTGTTTATGCAGGAGGTTGGTTTCTCTTGGTCTCTCAGCATGACCATCTCTCAGCAGGGCCCTCAATGTGGAGTTTCAAATGCTACCAAATCTCCCGGCTGGATGTAGATTATTTTCCCTCATTAAAAATATTTAATAGGGCCTCCCCAGTGGTGCAGTGGTTGAGCACAGGGTTGGGAAGGTGCCTGCAGCCTCTGCAGCGCCAGTTGGATCCCCGGCTGCTCCCCCGCCACCAGAGGAGGGTCCTACATGGCATGCAGACCTCTCCTGCCGCCCGCTGCTCCCCTCAGCAGGGTACTTCGGTCTTTCTGCCTGCTCTGCTCTCCCCTCTGGCTCTGGTGAATTCTCTCACCCTCCCGCACTTCTGATTATATCCAGTGCTTGTATAAATAAATAAATAAATAAATCTTTTAAAAAAATATTAATAATTGGGAAATAATCTGCTCAACCTCTGTAGCCTCTCCATGGAATAACTTTTCATTTTGGCCATTCCCTGCTGGCTGCTGTGCTTTTCTTCTGACTCCTTCTTCACATATCTGTGGGCCTTTCCCTTGAAAGGAGTAAGAATTTTTAAATGAGCCTCCAATCCAATCCCGCAGTGTAAAATATTGCCCAGAGTTATAGTCAAAGAAGAGGTGAAGGTGTGTATGTTGAGCTGAGCCATTAATAAATGGCCTTAAGATTTCAAGATACAGGGCCTCGTGGCACAAGGAGTTAAGCACCGCGCTATGAAGCTATCCGTAGCCTCTGCAGCACTAGTTCGATCCCTGGCCAGCCAGGGAGAAACCCACATGGTGAGGCAGACCTCTCCTGTCTTGCCTGCTGCTCCCCTCAGCAGTGGATTTCAGTCAGTCTGCCTGTTCTGTTCCCCGCTGTGTCTGGTGAATCTTCTCACACCCCGCATCTCGGGCCTGTACCCCAACTCTTGTATGCATAAATAAATAAATATTTTTAAAAAAAGATTTGATGATACAAAAGTCATCATCATGCACAGAAATTGTCCAGATATTGACCAAGATGTAGCACCTAAATAAGCCAGCTTGTGGACCATACACTAATAACGAGTTGAATCTAGCCATTTGGGAACTCTCCTATGTTGTCATATAATTTGCTGTATCCTCTCAGCTTTAGCAAGAACAGTGAGATGGTCAGAATACTTAATCCATGGTAATGACGTAACAGTAAACAATTTCTTGCAAGTTTGATTCTTTAAAAATTGTGGGTGTCAGGCCTCTCTGGTGGCCTAGGGGTTAAGCCTCAGCACTACCACCGAGAAGGCCCAGTGCAACAGCCTGAGTGGATCCTGGCCCAGGGAGCTGACCCACATGGCGCAGCAGACCTCCTCATCTTGCCCACTACTCCCATTAGCAATGTGTTTCAGTATATCCGCCTATTCTGCTTCCTACTCTGTCTCTGGTGGATTCTCTTACCATTTCCCTCCGCGCCCACCCCCCACCCCCTGTACCGCTGGCCTTCACCCCAGCACTTCTACCCAAAAATTAAAAAAAAAAAAAAAACCTTTAAAAAAATTGTGAATGTTTCATTCAGGAATTATAGATAAATAATAACTCATTGTTGCAAAAAGAAAATAAAGGTTACAGGCACCAAGATTTGTTATATCAGGAGAATAACAATTTGTTGGAAGATGTTACCTTCTGGCCATGTGGGGGATATATAAGTGGCGTAAAAAAGTCATAACCTGCAGCATCAAGTACAAGATCCATCTCAGACCCAGCAAACAGCAGAGGCTGGGGACCCAGTGGTGGTGCAGGTGCAACAAGAGAAAATGGGGGACTCAGTCAGCAGCAGTCAGGCTTTGTCGTCAAATGAGTCTGATGCCAAACTAGAGAGGGTCCGTCCACCACCCAGCGCTGTTGGGCCAGGAAGCCTGGGCTGGTCTGCAGCCCTGGTCAGCAATAGGCGAAGCCTGGTGGGGCTCAAGGGTTACTTTTAAAGTTTGGCTTAATCTGGCCCTTCGTTTGCTTTCTCCCCATCCATACATGAGGATTTCTCTATCTTTTTGATGTACCCCTCTTCCATCCATGTTGCCGCAGTGGCATGAGTTATGTTTTCTGACCGTGGATGCTATTTCATTATATAGGGACATACATCACCTGTATATGTACATACATGTATACATGTAATCCCAGCTTCTTCTTGATTTCCCACCTGTCTGGGGCATTCAGGTGGTGTCCATAGCTTGGCTACTGTAAATAGTGCTGCAGTGGTGACGGGAGTGCAGGTCCCTTCACAGGAGTGTATTTATCCTCTGTAAGTAGATCCTCAGTGTAGAATTGCTGGGTCCAATTGCTGGGTCCACCTTCACTCTTTTAAGAAACCTCAGTACTGTTTCCATAAGGGCTGGCTCAGTCTATATCCAAAAACAATGCAGGACTGTCCCCTTTTTCCCATATCCTTGCCAGCACTTGAGTTTCTAGTCTTTTGGTTATGGGCCGTTCTCACCGGTGTAAAGCGTTTTAAACCAGGGGATCATAAAGGCACAAAATGTGGGCAAAAAGAAATCCTGTAACACTCAGGCCAACACAAGGCTGTCTCTCACTGTGAAAGAAAATAATGATGAAGAAATTCAGGTGAATGACCTGAGTGTTAACATTATCAATGGTCCACTGCATTCTCAAGATATCCCCCTGAAAGCATCCCCATCACCTGTGCCAGCCTCTCTGCCTCAACCCCCACCCCCACTGCAGTCCTCCAGGATCTCACCTTTAGGGGCTGACATACACTTCAGAGCCCTGGGCACTGCCACTGCCCAGGGGAGAACACAACAAAACTTGGTCAGAGATGAGACCACAGGAGGAACTGATGAGTGTAACTTCCCCATGGGCTCCATCTACACTGTCCCCATGGGCTCAGGGATCAAACTCCTATCCATGCTCACCTGGAGCCTGAGTGTAGCTTCCTCCCTGTCCACTTGTGAGAAGAAACATCATGTGATACCAGGGAGCAGTCAGTTCAGAAGCCTAAAGGAATCTTCAAATCCTGCAGAACAGGGAAGTTTCCAGAACTGTGAGTAAAGACCCAGGTCAGGACTTGGAAAATGAAGAAAGGAGGTGAGGGGGACTGGACCAAATACCCTCTGGGCAACACATATGTTTGGATGGTTCTTCCCATTAACCAGTAAAGGCAACCAGTATTGCCTTGAAAGCCCCCTAGGCCACCAGAGAAACTTGAAAGCCCCCAGGGGACAAGATCCCCCACTCCCTTCCCTACCTGAGCGTTTCTTCCTCCACCACTCCTCCTACCTGAGCTGCAGCCACCGCAGCTCCAGTGAGCACAGCTCCAAGGAGAGCCAGGCCAGCAGTGATGCCCGTGGTAGAGATGGAGGACTGAGGAGGGGACTCTGGAAAGGAAGGGAAGGGGAGACCCTGAGCCCCAGGCCTCATCTGAAAGAGTCCAGAAGGGCCCCTGATTTCTCTGAGCAAAATCTCAGTGCCCACATGATTCTCCTCACCCCATCTCAGGACTTGGGGCTCCAGTAGCCCCTCATGCTGCACATGGCACGTGTATCTCTGATCCTCTCCAGAAGACACCACCTCAGCCACCCACCTCTGGAAGGTTCTGTCCTCCCCCCACCATGCCTGGTCTCCACCAGCTCTGTGTCCTGGGTCAGGTCCTCACCATCTTGCTTCCAGGTCAGGGTGATGTCCGCAGGGTAGAAGCCCAGGACCCAGCTCTTCAGGGTGACATCATGGTCAGAGGTGGGGTGGAGGGTCATGTGTGTCTTGGGGGATCTGAGAAGGGTCAAAAATTTACACTTTGGATTTTTCCTTCCTGGACACTGAAGCAGCCTCACTGACCATCCTCAGAATGAACATGACAATTGGTTTGGAGGGAGGAAGCACAAAACCCAGAAACCAGCCTAGTCTGGGATAATCAGGCGAGAGCCCAGGGTAGGAGGATGCAGGTCTCCAAGAACACAGGCTTTTGCTCCTGACCCGAGTGGAGGGTGAATGACACAGAAAGGCAAGAGTAAGATCTCCAGAAATGTTCTCAGACCAAAAACAAGACCTTGAAAGAGAATCTTAGGTTCCCAGGATGGCTGCGGGGTCAACAGGATCAGGGAAGAGTTATTTCAGGATGGCCTCCCCTCCCTCAGGAGAGACTGGATTCCTTGACTGTCCAGGAAAGTGGTGTCTTCTGGGCGAGTCTCTCTCTAGCACAGAACATGACACCCAGGGGGACTCTCCCTCTCTGCCCAGAAAGCAGCTGCTGTTCTGCCCATTATTCCATTTCCCCGTGGGGGCCAGGAGAGGGGAGGTCCGAGGCCTCGTAGACCCTCTTACCTGTGCGCTGCAGCACCTCCTTCCCCATCTCCAGGAGTCTGCGGAGCCGCGGGAAGCACCTGCTCTGCACACTGTGCCTGACGCGCTCGACCCTCCCCGCCGCCTCCCACGCGCGCTGGGTGATCTGAGCCCCCGAATCCCCGGGGGTCCAGGAGCGCAGGTCCTCGCTCAGGGAGATGGAATCCGCGCCGTCGTAGGCGAACTGGTCATACCCGCCGAGGAGGCTCAGGTCTGGCCCCACTTCACAGTCAAACATCCTCTGCAGGGTGTAAGACCCTGAAACCCACCCTTCCGGTCAACCCCGAGGTCACCCCGAGATCACCCTGCCTTTTTACCCTGCATAAACCTAAATTGAAAATGAAAGAACAGGCAAAAAGTGCCGCGGTCTCTTCCAGCCTCGAGGGGTCAGTGGACCCTGAAACTCGGGACACCCCGGCCTCATGATGGGAATGGGGGTGACCTGACCCTGGCACCGCTCCGCGAAGCTCACCGTCCTCGCTCTGGTTGTAGCGGTCGCGCAGGTCCCTCAGGAGCGCTTTGAACCACTGCCCGTTGTCCCTTTGGATCAGAGTCTCTTCGTCCAGGTCCTCCGGCCCCACCTGCCCCGCCCAGGGCGCCCGGGGCTCCACACTCTGGCCCGGAGAGTGGCTGTCGCACCGCCCGAACTGCGTGTCGTCCACGTAGCCCACGGCGATGTAGCGGGGCTCCCTGGGGCAGGGCCGGGACATCGCAGTGGAGAAAAAGCCTCAGGGAGTGGGGGCCTGGGGTGGGAGGGGGACCCGGGCTGACCCTCCTCTCAGCGCGGGCCCAAGTCCCAGGGAGATGGGCTTGGAAGGGAGAAAGGGGCGGTGGGCCAAGAAGGGCCCAGACTCAAGGCCCAGAGCACTCAGGGGAGGCTGGAGGGACAGAAGGGGCCAGAAACCAAGGGGCCTGAAGGGGTACAGAGGTTGGGGGGACATGAGCCTTTCCTGCGGTCCTGCACCCGCAGTGGGCTCCTTGCTCCTCCCTCCTGGAGCAACAGTGTCCAGCTGGACACGCACTCACCCGCAGGGGTCTCCATCAGGGCCAGGGGCCCCCAGAGCAGCAGCAGAAGGGTGAGGGGCATCATACTCCTTCTAGGGGTCTGGGGAGAAGGAGTCCAGGACAGTCCTTGGTGACTTTGTAACTGGAGCAAGATGATCCTGATTGTCTTCCCTGGACAACCCCGCCCCCCAAATGGGGAGATAGAATGGGGGTGAGTGTGGGGTCATCAAGGCTGCACCACCCCACAGAGCCTGTGAGAGGGAGACATGATGCTGTAACAGTGTGACATCCACAGACAGGGGAGGCTCCAAATTCCCTTCCCCACCTTCGGGAGGAGTGGATTTGGGCTGGGAGAGGCAGCAGCCTGGAGGAATGAAGAAACCAGAAGTATTTTCAAATGATTGTTAATATTCCACTTTGATACCAAATTAAAACTATACAGGGGTAGTTTTGTTATAGGGCAGGGAGAGGGGCAGCCCAAACCCTGCAAACCTGCCTATTCTATATAGGGTTCTGCCATCCGCCGCATCAACACAAAACATGAGACTTTTTTTTTTATTTTGTTTTTTTTTTAAATAAATTTTATTTTTATATTCCCCATACAATTGCAAGCCCCTTATTTTGACCCCAATCCCTCCCCTCCCCGCCCCCCACCACCCATACAGTGTCTCTGGTTCATAGTTGTTTGTTGATTTTCATTTTCACTTTCTTATAGTTATTCATTTTCCTGGTCCCTTATTTAAGTTTTCTAGATTCCTGCTATGAGTGAGACCATCGGTATTTTTCTTTTTCTTTCTGGCTTATTTCGCTGAGCATGATCCCTTCCAGCGCCATCCATGTTGCTGCAAATTGCATGTGTTTATCTTTTTTGAATCCTGAGTAATATTCCATGGTGTATATGTACCACATCTTCTTGATCCTGTCATCTATTTTTGGGCATTCCAAAGCTTAGCTATTGTAAATGGTGCTGCTATAAACATAGGGGTGCAGGTGCTCTTTGGAATTGATGTTTCTGTGTCCTTTGGGTAAATACCTAGGAGTGGAATTGCTGGATCATATGGAAGCTCTATGTTTAGTAGGTCAAGAAATCTCCACACAGCTCTCCATTGTGGTTGGACCAGTTTGCACTCCCACCAACAGTGCAGGAAAGTTCCTTTTTCTCCACATCCTTGCCAACATTTGTTGTTGCTAGTTTTTTTAATATGTGCCATTCTCACTGGTGTAAGATGGTATCTCATGGTAGTTTTGATTTGCATTTCCCTGATGACAAGTGATGTTGAACATTTTTTTATATGCCTGTTGGCCATTTGCATTTCCTCTTCAGAGAAGTTTCTTTTTAGCTCCTCTGTCCATTTTTTGACTGGATTATTTTCTTTGTTGTTGTTGAGTCTCATCAGCTCTTTGCAGATTTTTGTGATCAGTCCTTTATCATTAGTGTTGGGTGCAAAAATGTTCTCCCAGTCGGTGGGGTTTCTCTTTGTTTTTGTTATTGTCTCTTTTGCTGTGCAGAAGCTCTTTAATTTGATGTAGTCCCAGCTGTTTATCTTTGCCTTCACTATCACTGCTTTGGGTGATGTGTCTTTAAAGATGTCTTTGATGTGAATATCACGTAGTGTTTCGCCTATATTTCCTTCTATGTATTTTATGGTTTCTGGTCTTATGTCCAATTATTTAATCCATTTTGAGTTGATTTTTGTGTATGGTGTGAGGTAGTGGTCAATCTTCATTCTTTTGCATGTAGCGACCCAGTTTTCCCAGCACCATTTATTGAACAAACTTTCTTTGCTCCAATGCATAGTCTTTGCTCCTTTGTCAAAGATTAGTTGACCATAAATCTGTGGGTTTATTTCTGGATTTTCTATTCAATTCCATTGGCCTGTATGTCTGTTCTTGTTCCAATACCATGCAGTTTTGATGATTATGGATTTGTAGTATAGTTTGAAGTCTGGGAGTGTGATGCCTCCATTCCCTTCATTTTTTTTTTCAGGAGAGCTTTGGCTATTCGGGGTTTTTGGTGATTTCATATGAATTTCATCAATAATTGTTCTATTTCTTTGAAGAATGACATTGAAATTTTGATTGGAATAGCATTGAATCTGTATATTGCTTTTGGTAGGATGGCCATTTTAATAATGTTTATTCTTCCAATCCATGAGCAGGGGATGTCTTTCCATTTCTTTGTGTCTTCCTCTATTTCTTTTAACAGTGTTTTATAGTTTTCTTTGTATAGGTCCTTTACCTCTTTTGTTAGATTTATTCCCAAATATTTGATTTTTTTTGTTTCGATAATAAAAGGGATGTTTTTTTTGATTTCTTCTTCTTCAGATTTGTTTGTGTATAGGAAGGCTACTGACTTTTGCGTGTTGATTTTGTATCCTGCCAGTTTACTGAACTGATTGATGAGTTGAATTAGTTTTTCTGTGGAGTTTTTGGGGTTCTCTATGTATATTATCATATCATCTGCAAATAGTGATAGTTTGACTTCTTCTTTTCCTATTTGGATTCCTTGTATGTCTTTCTCTTGTATTATTGCTCTGGCTAGGACTTCCAGTGTTATATTGAAAAGCAGTGGTGAGAGTGGACATCCTTGTCTTGTTCCAGATCTTAATGGAAATACTTTCAACTTTTCACCATTGAGAATGATACTGGCTGTTGGCTTGTCATAGATGGCCTTTATGATGTTGAGGTATGTTCCTTGTATCGCAAGAATTTCAAGGGCTTTTATCATGAATGGGTGTTGCAATTTGTTGACAGCTTTCTCAGCATCGATTGATATTATCATATGGTTTTTATATTTCTTTTTCATTTCATTTATTTCTGATTTGGTTTTTATTATTTCCTTTCTTCTACTGGTTTTGGGGTTTTTTTGTTGTTCTTTTTCTAGATCTTTGAGCTTCGAGATTGGGTTGTTTCTTTGAGTTCTTTCTTGTTTCTTTTTTTTTTTTAATAGAGGCATGCTTATTTATTTATTTGTTTGTTTGTTTTTGTTTATACATGCACTGGGTACAGTCAGAAGCACGGGAGGGTGAGAGAATTCACCAGAGCCAGAGGGGGGAGCAGAGCAGGCAGAAGGACCGAAGTACACTGCTGAGGGGAGCAGCGGGCGGCAGGAGAGGTCTGCGCGCCATGTGGGACCCTCCTCCGGTGGCCGGGGAGCAGCCGGGGGATCGAACCGGCGCCGCAGACGCTGCAGGCAGCTTCACCAGCTTCGCAACCCAGCGCTCAACCGCTGCGCCACCGGGGAGGCCCTCTTTCTTGTTTCTTGATGTGAGCTTCTATTGCTATATATTTTCCTCTTATTGCTGCTTTTGCTGCATCCCATACATTTAGGAAATTGGTGTCCTCCTTCTCATTCAATTGAAAGAATTTTTTAATTTCTTCTTTGATCTCCTCATTAGTCCAGTGGTCTTCTAGTAGTGTGGTTTTCAATCTCCATGAGGTAGGAGAATTCCTTGCCTTCTTTTTATGGTTTATTTCTAGTTTGATGCCTTCATGGTCAGAAAAGGTGGTTGGTATGATTTCAATCTTGGTGTATCTGTTGATGTTTGTCTTGTGTCCCAGTATGTGATCGATCCTGGAGAATGATCCGTGTGTGCTTGAGAAAAATGTGTACTCCATTTTTTTTGGGGGGGGGGTTTAGTGTTCTATAGATGTCCGTTAAGCCCAAGTGCTCTAGGTCCTTATTTAGAGCTTTAGTGTCTTTACTTATTTTCTGTCTCGTTGATCTATCCATTGCTGTTAGTAGTGTGTTGAAGTCTCCCACTACATATGTGTTTTCTCTGATGTCTGTTTTCAGAGATGTCAATAGTTGTCTGATATATTTTGGTGCTCCTTCATTAGGTGAATATATGTTAATGAGTGTTATTTCTTCTTGAAGTACTGTCCCCTTGATCATAAGGTAGTGACCGTTGGGGTCTCTTTTTACCTTTTTGAGTTTGAAATCTGTTTTATCTGATATAAGTATAGCTGTTCCTGCTTTCTTTTTCGGTCCATTTGCTTATAGGATTGTTTTCCATCCTTTAACTTTGAGTCTATTTTTATCTTTTGTAGCTAAATGTGTGTCCTGGAGACAGCAAAAGGTTGGGTTAAGTTTCTTAATCCAGCCTGCGACTCTGTGTCTTTTTATTGAAGAGTTTAGTCCATTTACATTTAGGGTTAATATTGATATGTTAGCATCTGTATTTGCCATTCTGTTTGTCTTTCCTTTGATTTTAATTATATTTTTAATAACTTTTTTTTTTTTTGGCCTTCTTTCGTTGTTATTCATCCCTCTGAGGTTCTGGCTTTAGGACTCCTTATAGTATTTTGGAGTGGGGGTTTAGTTGTAATGAAATTCCATAGTTTCTGTTTGTCTGGGAAGGTCCTTATTCTTTCTTCATAGAGGAAGGAGAGCTTTGCGGGATAGAGTATTCTTGGTTGGCATCTGTTTTCTTGGAGTCTGTTGACTATGTCCCTCCACTTTCTCCTTGCCCATAGTGTTTCTTCGGAGAAGTCTGATGTCAGCCTGATTGGTTTTCCTTTGTATGTTATGTGTTTCTTCCCTCTTGTCAGCTTCATTATATTTTCCTAATCCTGGATTCTTGGGAGCTTTACTATTATGTGTCTTGCTGTTTTTTTCCTTTTGTCGTGGAAGTTTGGTGTTCTTCTTGCTTCTTGTATATCAATTTTCATCTCCTTCTTCACGTTGCGAAGTTCTATTCAATTATCTCCTTGAATATTTTCTCTGTTCCTACATCTC